GATGGAGACTGGCCCCCCCCTGGGCCCTCCCGGTTTTAGTTCCTGTTTTGGTGGTTTGGATTTAGCCTGGCGAGATTCTGTCTATTAGGTGTAAGCTAATAAAGGAGCTAAACTGTTCTGGACTGTCTCGCTGTTGTTCTTGGGCTGAACCTGACACTGCCTCACCTCTGGGGGAAGGGTATTCCATAGGGTGGGGGCCGTGGCAGAGAAGGCTCTCCTTCTGGGCCCCACCAGTCGACATTCTGTCATCGGCGGGGTCCGCAGCATACCCTCTCTGCTTGACCAGACCAGTTTGTGTGATGATGTACAACATATGTGTTATCATTTGCCCCACTGCAGATACCCATATCTCTTTCTCTCAACAGCTTACAGTGGAAATACACTGACTGATTTCACTGACTGAATCAAGTATAATATATGTATGGTTATTATTTATGCTACATTATTAACTATGCATCGTTAGCATACTTAATAGAAAAGCATAAATGTGCCAAAATGGGTGAAGGTAAAAGGAAATAAATCTGATTATAAAATTTCACATTCACAGATGAAATATAACAGGGCTGATATTCTCAGCTGATTTTGAAACTATGTTAATTCAAATATGTTAGCTTTTTTTTTTTAAACCATCCCTAGGCTCTGAGTAGGCTATAATATATTTTTTTTGAAATTTGATTTTCAATATGAAATCTGTTGTAATGGAAAAGCAGAACAGCCTTTAACAACAATGATCTGCTGCTTTTTTGTCCTTGTGTCACAGCCACACCAGGATCATACTGTGTACCTGAAGTCATCTTAGTGCTTTGTAGATAATCAGTTTTGATTGCATATTTACATTTCCCAAGCAAAGAACACTTTTCCTTGCTCTTCCTTAGATCTAGAAGAAAAGACATCCTGTTACCCTGGAAATTAGCTAGTGTATGCTCCTGTGCTGTACTATTCTGAAAGTTCTATTGGCAGGGAAATGTTTAACCAAATCAAAAACAGGGTTACGATGACTAGGGTAGGAAAAAAATCTTGTCATCTCTGGTTCTATTTTAAAGTTCTGCTAAAAGGCCTAACAGGAGGAGGGGAAATGCAGGCAGATGGTATATACTTGGACTTGCTCATGACATTGCTTGATAAGTCCTTTGTGCAACACGCCTTCCAAAACACCAACCGAATCCACTTCCTTTCTCAAATCACTTTACAGCATTTAGCCTTGCCTGCAGTCTTTTCTAATAACACCTTTCTGCTGACAGATGCTTCAGGTTCTCCATATCAGGAGCAGGGGGTGAGAGAGAATTCAGAAAGTGCTAAATGTTTTCCCTGAACCATAAGCTGGAGTGTTCTGTTTTGTTTTCCTTCCTTCCATTAACTGTCTGTCATAAGAGGCAGATACTTCCCATCAAGATTTATCCTGATGCTTCAGTGACCACTAGCAGGGATAAACCTGGCTCTGTAGCATTCCATAGCCCATTAAGGGATGGAGTGGATTTTGTAATAAAAATGTCACAATAACTGAATCAAGCAAAAAGCCTGTACCCTAGAGAGACTTTGTTTAATCATTCTGTACTGCCAGATGTCAAGAATGCTTCTTTCCTGCTTGCCACCAAGCTCTTGCTGACATTTGTTTGGGACACATGGTGCTCAAAAGGTATCCATTTGTCTGTGTGTGTGTGTGTGTGTGTGTGTGTGTGCACACGTTTGTGTGCATATGTCTACATATGTAAAAAATTACAGAGAAGGAAGTCTGGCTTTTCCAACCGATATTGGATAAACTGATGGGCAAAGAAATATTGAAAAAGCAATAAGCTTGACAATTCTGTTAAAGCTTGATAAAAATGCTGTCGGTCTTCCAGACTGCAATGAGCAAATCAACACTTCCTTGTTAATCATGTCAGGAGAAATAAGATGTGGCTCTTAGTTTGCCTTAGGTGCTGGACTGATCTTGCTCGGTTGGAGAAATCGGAGAATAAACAACTTCATCACACTCAGAAGGAACCTCTTCTCAGGGCTAAGCAAAAGATTCTACCATAAACCTAACAGTTCCACTGATTACAGAGCCCTGTCCTGTGCTAGTAGCCCCATGAAGTAAAGCAAGTTCTACTCTGCACTTTTCTTTTTCTCAATCACCTGGTACTGAATGATCTTGATCCTGCCACCAATGTTGCTTGGGGTGCTGCTCCTGCTCCCCACCATCTGTAGACTGCTAGGACCAATTAATTGAGGGAGAGATTCAGTGCTTTATTTCTTGGAATGCAGCTAGATATAATGGCCAAGGGGTGGGAAATTCCCCATGAATAAGCAAGCATCATTGTGTACATATCGGATGTATCTTATACATTCTGATAAGAATTTTGTTGTATTTCATTCACTTATTTATGGTTATTTAGCTGTTAAGTAATTATAAGTTGTTCAGATCATGGGTGAACAGATTAATTAGGTTCTTCTTAGCTACCTTACTAAACCTTGCCATGATTCATTTTTTTGACACAGAATGAAAGCATAGAAATCACATCTTGAGCCTAAACAATCTTGCAAAAAACTAAAGTCAAGAGTATCTGTCACATGATTTCAAGAAATATTTCACATGTCTATATTTTGGAATTAAGAATTTGCTGATTCCATTAATAAAAATGCCCTACGCAATATCAATATTTATCTGCATTGTACATTACATGTGCTCTCTGCTTATGTCTAATATAAAAATGTGACATGTTGTTGAAACCCCACCTTGACCTTTTCATTATGCTGCACTTCAGCTGACAGTCTATTCATTTCCCTTTTGCATCTTTTCAAGAAAGGACAAGTAGAAACAACAGCTGAATCCTTAAAAGGCCAAATGATCATACTCTAAAACACAAAATTTTCTCTTTTATCGCAAGCTAATTTTTAAAAAATAAACACAAATTATTTTTTAAACAAAAGCTCATTTGTATGCCCCCAATTCCAAAACCTATAGAATTTTGAGAGCATGGCTTCCCAACCTTATCCTAGTACGTATTTGCACGTTAAGTTCCATACTACTACAAAGGCAGCATTTTGTTCTATGGATAGGACATGCAGAATATTTTATTTATTTATTTTTATTCAATTTATATAGAAATCACTTGGATACAATGAGTTCTGAGAAAGTTTCTGAGCTGCACACGTTTCCTGGGAACTCACAGCTTCTGTTTTGTTTAGTAAAGTCATTATTTGCTTGAGTCATCCACCCAACATTTGCACTCTGGTTATTTTTGCACAGCATATCCAACCTAACAGGTGAACATTACTTTGAAAGGCACACTGAATAGAAGAAATCAGTTCTTTGCAGCTTTGATACAGTCCATTCTAATCATGTTCCACAGAGCATGCATTTCTACATCTCTGCATTTAACATAACTAATTAAAAATCAACATCCTTCATTATTTCAGTATCCCTAGATCTGAAGATAAAAATGCCCTAACCAAAATTTGCCAGAACAGAACGTACAATAATTTTTTGCACTATTTGTTTCATATGAAATTGTTTCAATACATGTTTAGAATAAATATCCTCTAAAAGCCAGTATGGAATGAGATATCATGAATCAAATTTTGGTTCAACCCATAAAGGTCAGTAGTGAACTTGATTCAGTCACATTCTTTCAGGCTAGCTTACCTCACAAAGTAGCTTGAAGATAAAATGTATGTGACTCATGCTTATTATTTTGAGATCTTTGAAAGAAGGAAACATCCAGTTGTTTTTTTTCCTCAAGTGGATACCAACAATAGAATTATCTCACATGAATTGAATAATTCCCTTTAGAAAGAGCTTCTCTTTTCTGTGTGTAATGTAAGAATTATTTATCAGATTAAAATTCACTGCTGCACACTTTAGACCAAGGCCATTGCTACCTCTTTTTATCATTTAATAGAGACTAAAAAAAATCCAGTTCTTTAAGGAGACCCAGTTCTTTTATACAAGAAGCTACTACTCTGATGAAAATAGAATAGATAAGATCCAAGACAATCATGCTAATAACCTTTGACTTATCCAGAATATTTCACTCTAAAAATCATAACTAGGATATGTCAAGAGTCAGTCAAATGAGGGGGGGAAAAGGATTGAGTATTTTAAAAAAGCCTGCCATAAAATGACCAACCCTGATGCTTAAAACCAAAAACTCTTATATATTATGATACTTTGCCCTACTCTCCTCAATGAGAAATTTCTCACTCCCTCAAAGTGAATTTTCCAATCAGCCTGTCAGTATAGGAATACTGACAGGCAGATTCTCAGAAATATAAAAAAGCTGCCACAATTCATCTGTAAATTCATAACCCCAACTCCTTTTTAACAATGTTTCCATCCTAGCTGACCATACTAATAACCAGTGATTTAAAAAAAAGCATTTATGGGTTTTTTTCCCATCAAGTATGTCACATTTTTCTTATCAAATGTGTCATTGTTTTACATTAATCATGCAGGCCATGGCCAGAGTTTAAAATTAACACCCATAATACAAATTTTAAAACATGTTCACTTACCAATTTCCCTAGAGATTTGAGTGAAAGCTTCTACACCACTTTCCCCATAGTTCCCCTCTGATGCCAGTGTAGACACATAGTTCCATCCAAGAGCTGTCACAATGTCAACCATGGCTTGGGCTTGATAGGAGTCAGGTGGGACCACACGAGAGAAAAAGTCATACCTGGTGTTATCACTCAGTTCTGGAGCTGTAGATGCATAGCTGATTTGAGGTATCTGCAAAGAACCAGCATGAGAAATATGTTTCAGAAACCTTAAGGGTGACTTATAATAATGATACAAGAAAGGGTTCTTCTAATAAAAGACTTTGTAATAGTTTTGGGCTCCTCTTTCTAATGTGCTCAGGCAGAAGCTGGACAGACATCTGTTAAACGTGTTCTCTCAAGGAGCAAAGGGTTGGGCTCATTGGCTTAAAAAGCTGTTTACAATGCTATAATTCCATGTTTTTATTAATGATTCTATGAAAAAGTGCTTATTTTTCAAAAATTGGAAATTATGGCACAGTGTTTAGAAGACAACAGGTACAGATAAGAAATCCATGGTTTCCCTATTATCATGGATTATTATATATTCAAGACTGGAACAAATGTGAAAGAAAAACAGATTGTAGTGTCAAGGCCATATGTTCAATTCATAAATATTCAACTTATCTATTAATATCACAGTTAAACCTTGTTTCAATTTTTGTTCATTTTAAATAGCATACTTTTTTTGTCACCTACTACTAATGAATAGAGGGCCTCCCAAATTATTCCAGCTATTTGGTCATCAAAATCCCTAGCAACATAGGATCCACCTGATTTCTTTTTCTTGATGGTTGTGCAAGAGTCTGACTAAGTATCAGAACCAGGCTTTATATTGGCCAGAGTCCTCTCTGTAGTCAGATTACATATATGAGAGATTACGTAAATGGTGGAAGTAAGGTTAGAACTGCAAAGTAGCAATCTGACAGTTTCCCAAAAGTATACTTTAAGGAAATGCTCAAAATCTGGGTAAAAGGTATTTATCAGTGCTATCTGAATTGTAGATTCCACACTGTTCAGTTTAGATTTGGATGAGATGCTTCTCTTCTCAGATGTCCACCCTGAAGTGACAGGCAAGCAAAAATGAGCTTGTTCACACAGCAACAGTTATTTTGTAATCCGGTTACTGAAAACTCTGCCCCATAGCCTAACTTTTATCATACCTCAACAACTAGGCCAGCAGTGTTGTCGTCATCACACAATAGTTGTTGGATGCATCATCTCTCTGTCTACCAAATTATTTCTTTCATGGATTACTGAGTGTCTGGCTTCCCATCTCTGTTTTGCTGCCATTATGTACAGTACATAAATAAAGCTGGAATAATCATTCTCTTTGGGATTGTCCATGCTAATTACAGACAGTATTGTTTACAGGGGCTCTAAGAAGTTCTATATCTTGGTAGGTAGGTAGGTAGGTAGGTAGGTAGGTAGGTAGGTAGGTAGGTAGGTAGGTAGAATTTCTCTTTGTGTGTCTCCCCAG